TTCTAGAGTTTCTATCCTGTCATTTGACGTCCTAGGAACCCCCTTTATATAATAGGTTGGACTCCTAATTTGCAAAAGATTCTGGGTCATACTCATAACCCGTATCCTACTCTAACTCTTATTTGACTTTCTGTGCTTTCTAAGTTAATAGAGTTTCATTTTTGGGCCTTCCTGTAAGCCAGCATTCACAGGTCGGGTCTTCTTTCCAGGCCCCTGGCCTTTCTCCCTCTGGTAAAACTCCTTTGAGACTCGAGAGTGGGTGACGCCCCAAACCGGGCCAGGGAGACCAGGTTTAAAACCGAGTTACACCACGCCGGGTCTCATCTCTTGGGAATATCAACATACCCCCATGTAAACCCTATACCTCTCCTGTCTATATAAAGGGAGGTCTAGGATCTCATTCATCCATCCAATATCAGATCTAACTCTTGGTAGACATCCCGTACACCATTGTATTCCTCTGCACGAGGTATCCCCTCACCATGAATAACAAGAAGCAACATGATGTAGGGTATTAGTCTTCGGAGGCCTAAACTTGGGTAAGTTGTGTGTGCAGACTCCGTCCCGTTACTTCCAATCTCGAAATGAACCCTACCAAGGGGTCTGATGGTATTTTGCTCCGCCAACGGCATTGTCCTATAGGTTTGGAGCTTCGTTGCAGATCTCATCGGGTGGCGGCTAATTTGGGCAGCGGGTCGTGTGGAAAATGTATGTGTATGGAAGAGCTAGATGAGAAATACTTTCCACTTAGAGTCAAAAGTCCATGCTACATGAACGGTGTTTATGACCTTGACGAAAATTACTTATCTTGAGTTAATACACCAAAATTGGTTATTACAATTGATCCACAAAAGGAACTGATCACTACGATAAGTCCAGCGATGGGAGGTGGAGAAGGAGGAAGCGAGCTTCTTCCTGGGGCAACCTTGGTTCAATTGATTGGTCGAAGATGGTCACCGTAGTGACGCGGAGTCGAGGGACACAACGAATGCACGAGCTGGGCTTTTCGGCCACAGAGGAGGATGACGGTGGCCTGCGGGCATGCTTGCATGTGTCCCGCGAGGGAGGAAAGAGAGGGCGAGAGAGTGGTGGCGGTGAGTGGAGGAAAGCGGGTAGGGTTAGGGTTTGTAGGGGAAGGTGATTATCAGGGGGAGTGAGGCGTAGTGGTTGGCTCTCCCACCGGTTGACGTTGCCTAGAGCAGAGAGAGAGAGCACGCCTCCTGCGTTACCCCTCCGGTGAAGACCACAAAGAGGGGCACATGGGTGGGCTTGGGCCCGATGGTGATTAGGTGGAATACGTATGTGCGCGAGAAAGACTGAGAGAGAGAGAGAGAGAGAGGAAATGTTGTAGCCTGGTATCCATGGGTTGTGTTGTGTTGAGGATTTCCCATTTTCTAAAAACAAAAAATAAAATAGGTATGAAAAGAATTAGTTGGAGGACCAAATAATTTCCAAAAGGGATAAATTTTTTGGTTGGCTCTCTGAATTATTCCAAAGCTCCGCTAAAATTTTCAAAAGGCTATTAGCAAGGGTTGTGAAGAATTTGAAAAGGAGATAAAAGGGAAAATGAGTGGTTTGAACTAGGGCCATGAGAAAGAAGCGGATTGAAATTGTGAAACAATTTGTGCACCATTTAGAAGTTAAATAAGGCCATGTACAAAGTGCGGAGGCGAGCCTTGATGCGGAACATCAAAAGGGAGAAGGCTTTGGATATTCACCATTTAATAAAATGAAAAATTAAAATAGGGATTGGGGGGTTAATAAACTATCAGAATTAATTTTTAAATAATGCAATATGATACATATGCAATGCTTATGATGCATAAAAAATATAATAGGCAAGAAAATATTTAAGATATTACTCTGGGATGTTATAGGATCGCCCTCCTCCTCCTGTTCCATCTCCTCCTGCAAGCCCGGTTCCGGAGAGCTCGGAGGTTGGCCCCGCCTCGTCGACAGTTCGTGGCGCAGACCTGTGTCGTGATTTTTGCGACACATTTCGCCATGAGCTATTTGTACCACATGACCAACTTGTGCACCATGACGAAGCACGATAGAACACGAAGGAGGGACCAGGCGGAGGTAGACAGACTAGGGGGCTCAGGCAGTGGGAGGATGGGATCAGAGGTGTGATTTTTTGGGAGGGGAGGTGGCATCCAACTTTAAATATTCGGGTAGGTGAAGCGGCGAAGGTTGGATGCGAGCAGTCGGAGTAGGTCTCTCGGGGGGCGGATGGCTGGGGAGGATTTTTGAGGTGGGTCAGGGGTCTAGGAGTGCATTGTGCGAACTTTCGGATTCCCTAGGGCTTCGCCAATTGGAGTCGGTTTGTGGATTTTTGAACGCCTGAACCTGTCCGGCTTAATTTGATTATCCACATTGAATGGTTAAAATGTTCAAATGGTCTGATCAGGACCCAAGATCATAATCTCTTCTTTCCCCTCATGCTAAGGTGGCTACGGCAAAGTACTCCTCCCCTCGAAGCTCCACCGGCCAACCAGTGGATTCTCCTCTCCTCCATCTGCCGCTCTAGCGGCTGGTGACGGGAGGAGAACCCCGGTGCCTTGACTCCGGCTAATAGTCTAGGTTAGCATTTTTTCCTTGCACGGGTGACGCTCAGATGGATGACAACGCTTCATCTTCAAGTTGGTCTTCCATTGTTCGTTCCTCCTCGAAATCGCTCGTCAGGGTGAAGTCGCCGAAGCTCTGGCATAGATTACTGCAGTCTCTTCGGGCGACAAGGTTAGAATTTCTCGCCAAGTGTGTGCGATGGCGAGATCCGGTGTGAGGTGCTTCAAATCAATTTAAGGGTTCAACGGCGCTGACCACGGCTCCCTGACGCTGGTTCTTAGGGGCACGTTCATGAAGACTTCGTGGCTCATCGACAAGTTTAGGCGGACTCCATTATCAGGGCGGCGATACCGATGCCTCATCGGCTCTTCTGACGGCGACAGTGGTCGTTCGGTGGTCCAAAGACCTTGATCTAATTTTTATTATGTTTAGGGTACTTTGTAATTCCAATGAACTTTTATTCGATATCTGGGTATTAAAAAAATATCTAAACCTTTTTTTAACATAGTACAATTGGAGATGCTCACATGCACTCACCCCATAAACACATGCACGCACTTTCTACACCTATGAGAGCCTTCAAGATACTGAGCCGACATAAAATCTTAAAATTGACGAAATCGTCATAAACACCTTTATAGTCAACGAAAACATCTCCTCACACCGAATGCACATAGTCGGAGTCACTAAAATAAATTCAAAAAATCACGACCACCGGTGTCAAGTATAACATGAACTCCGGTATCCACCGCAAGAAATCAAAACATCTCGCGCATCTGGGTACACATCGTGACGTCCACCGTCGACATAGCCCCCTGGGTGCGTGCGGTCGCGCAGTTAACGACGCAGCGATTCCGGGTGGCCCACGTAGTCGACAAATCGTACGTGTGGGTGGGTGGGTGCGCCGGGGAGCGAGCTAGATGCGCTGAAGGCACAGTCTCGCCCTGTGCAGCCATGTGGCGGGGGGCAGCAGCCATCGAGCGATCGCCTCGCGTGCCGCTGAACTGAATCGATCCATGAGTCATGTCTGCCGCGTCGTACGACCCATGTGCAGAGGACGGAGCCCTTGCCACTGCCCGCCCAGGCAGGATCCGATGCTGCTGACTAGTTTATCCGCCGATCCGTTCGCGTCCCGACGACGAGGGCCGATAGTACGTCCGGCGAGCTGGTTATACACTGATCACGGATTTGCCAGGACCAGGAAGGAGGCGTTTTGCATCGCGATCCCACGGCGCCAAACTTTCCACCGCTGGCTGTCACGGCATCCCGTGCACCGAAAGTAGCCAATAATGACTCCAGCTAGTCTCGTACGGTCGGTGCCCGGGCTTGGCCGGTGAGTTTTCTTCCCAGGAATGGACGGTGAAAAAGAAACCAAAAGGCCGACACGCCACCGGCATTTGCCCACGAAAGCGCTCATCAAAGCGAGAAAGCAGAAACAAAAGAACGGCCAGCCCGATCGATCTGATTAGAAGCCCTGGACATCGGGGTGGCAGTTTAATCAGTCCGCTCACCCCGCCGGACTCCACTCGAGCAAGGAAACCCCACCCGCTTTGCTAGGTTCGGCACGACGGGCCGGTGAGCGGATAGTCGTTTCGACCCCACATGTCAACATCGGGCTCTCTTTCTAGAGCCCTCTCGTCGTCCTAGTCATGTGCTATCACTCCCCCGACGTGCACCCCTTGATTTAGTAACGAAATCCACCACGAACTCTTATCTTCGTCCGCTACCGGTGATTGAGCATCCGGAAGAATCGATGTTAATGCTTCCTCATCCTCAAAAAAAAAAAGAATCAATGTTAATGCCACACAACCGCTAAAATAAACCCCGGCCAAACATTTGTGGACAAAATGGCTCACGCCACTGTTTCAAAAATCGATCGATCACTTAATCAATCGGTCGAATTATCTCAACCTAAAGTATTGCCGGAGAGCGACGGGCGTGGACAAGCGTCCCGTCGGCAGCGGATGCGGAGGAGAGGCCACGGAGGGAGGCACCCCACCGACCATTCGCACCGGGCCACGCCTCGGTGAGCGTAACTACCCACCACTCCACATGGCGCCCGCCGACCTCTCCCGATGCCGTCGATGGCGCGTCCGCCACGTCGGACTGACCGCCCCACGACATGCGTCGGGGCTCCACTGGCTCACGCGCTGCCCCGTCACGCCATTATTTCCGGCCGACACGCTGTCACTCACGACGTTGAACCGTCCTTCTTTCCTGCTTGTATTGTCCTCACGTACAGCGCTACAGGGCACAGATGTACACCTCTCGGCAGCGGCTCCGGATCGACCTCCTTGACAGCGGCTATATAAGGAAGCCTCTTGGCCAGGACACCTTCATCAGTCACAAAGCCACAAGCCAAGAACCAATACTTGATCTGTTGTTTCCTTTAGCTCCCGGAAGACTTTTCGCTGCACCGACCGATCTCGATCATGGAGGATGAGAGGAGCACCCAGTCGTACCAGGGAGGTGAGGCCGCCGAGCAGGTGGAGGTGACGGACAGGGGCCTCCTCGGCAACCTCCTCGGCAAGAAGAAGGCGGAGGAGGACAAGGAGAAGAAGGAGGAGGAGCTGGTCACCGGCATGGAGAAGGTCTCCGTGGAAGAGCCCGAGGTCAAGAAGGAGGAGCACGTGGATGGCGAGAAGAAGGAGACCCTCTTCTCCAAGCTGCACCGATCCAGCTCCAGCTCCAGCTCGGTAAGTGCAAACATGATTTAATTAGTAGCGTTTTGCTGTATTATTTAGGAGATTATTAGGATATGGCACGGTTGTTGCGATTTCTGACCTCGTGAGTGATCGTCTGTACAGTCTAGTGACGAGGAAGAGGAGGAGGTGATCGACGACAACGGCGAGGTGATCAAGAGGAAGAAGAAGAAGGGTCTCAAGGAGAAGCTCCAGGAGAAGCTGCCCGGCCACAAGGACACCGAGGGTGAGCACGTGACGGGCCTACCCGCACCGGCGGCCCCCGCGTCCGTGCAGACCCACCATGACACCGACGTCGTCGTCGAGAAGATCGACGGTGACGTGAAGACAGAGGCGACACCGGCAGTGCCCGAGGAGGAGAAGAAAGGCTTCTTGGAAAAGATCAAGGAGAAGCTGCCCGGCGGCCACAAGAAGCCGGAGGACGCTGCTGCGGTGCCCGTCACGCACGCTGCTCCGGCGCCCGTCACGCACGCTGCTCCAGCACCGGTGCACGCGCCGGCGCCGGCCGCCGAGGAGGTGAGCAGCCCTGACGCGAAGGAGAAGAAGGGCCTGCTGGGCAAGATCATGGACAAGCTGCCTGGTTACCACAAGACAGGGGAGGAGGACAAGGCCGCCGCCGCTACAGGCGAGCACAAGCCCAGCGCTTGATCGCCGCCGTGCCCGAGACCCGTGACCGGACCTCGATTGAATTGTTGGCGTGTGTTGTGTTTGCTTTACGTCTAAGTTGGTGTCAAGGTGGGAGGGGTTGATCGTCTTTGAAGGTCCGGTCCGTGAAGCCCGTTGAGTGACGGGTGCTTCTGTTTCAGTCTTTGAAGGTCCTGGATATTGTTAAGCTTGTTTACTTATGGGCACTTGTGTATTGGTTTATTGCTGGGCATTATGCCTTGATATTAAAGATTTCCGCCCAGTACATATTGCTGCATGTTGTGAAGATATATAGCGTATATTGTTGCGGTTTTTTCTTTTGCCGGAAATATATTGTTGTGTTGTGCATGTTAATTGTTGCTCGAAAGATGGTGTTTTTTCTTGGGACTGTCTATTTAGCACTTGACTATTTTATAATTGGAAAACATTCAAATATCCTGTCTAATAAACAGATGCCACTTGTATGTCCAAAACCAACCCCCACAGGCACTGTCTCTCGCTATATTTCAAATAAAACGGGTTAGGAAATAAACCCGAATCAAGTAAAGCTGGACCACGACCCGGTCAAGGAACAACAGCCAAAAATTGGCGGAGATCACCGGACAATCTACAGGCCAGGAACACTCGTAATCCTACTCCAATTCTTGACCCCCTTCACTAGCTTCACAAATTCTTCATCCCCTTCACCCCGCTTCACCTAGAAACATCAGAGAAACTAGTTACAAAGAAATTCCAAAGACAACAGGAAACTGTGGAATGTTTGATTGCTAGCAATTATAAAACTCTGGAATAACAAAAAAATTGCAGTCTAATGCCAAAAATTACAATAGCAAAACAATAGAAATTACACTACAAATCCTGATAGCTGAAAATTAAAGTGCAAACTCTGAAAAAGCATACAGTGGATTTACACCGTAAATACAAACGAAATGACACTGCAAGTTCCCAAGGATTTACATTTGAATAACTGATGAAGTTACACTGTAAACACCCACGAATTACAGTCAAAGTGCCCACTAATTGCACTGTAAATCCCCCGGAATTACACTGTTATTCCCAGGTATCAACGCTCATAAATGCACCATAAAATTAGACGTAAAAATCCACTGTGATCTATCTGAAAAATACTCTGTAAGCCCTAAAACAATTACAGTGCTGAAGTATTCAAATTACAGTGTAAATCTGCAGTATATTACAGTGTAAGCCCCACAATTCAGAGGTAAAATCCATTGTAATGTATCTAACAAATACTATAAGCCCTACAACAATTACAGAGTAAGACTCTGATAAATTACAGTATAAGCCCTAAAACAATTACAGTGCTCAATCATATTACAGTGTAAGCCCTACAGCAATTAGAACCATCTTCCGCAAAGTCATTAGGCACGAAGGGGTCTTGCAAAGGATCCACACTCTCAATAGAAGATGCTTCCGGAACATCCTTGTGAGAGACTTTCCGTAGCCTCCCCATAGATAATGAAGCTGAAAACTACAGAGAAGTAACTATTAATACTGATCCAAAATAATAAAATCAAGGCAGGAATTACACAAAAAATAAAACTAGGGAAATTACATGGTAAAACTTATGCAAACTACACCGTAAAATCAAGGCAGGAAACAAAATTACACAACACTGTAATACTGATAAAAAATACAGTGTAAACAAGACAGTAATTACACTGTAATACTGATCCCGCTTACACAGTAATACTGGTCCAACTTACAGTGTATAGTGAGGCGGTAAAACACAAAAAACTAAGCAAACTAACACTGTAAAAATACTCAGAATTATATAGTAACCCAGAGGGGCTTTCCACTGTAAATCAAGGCATGAATTACAGTGTAATCAAGGCAGGAATTACAGTGTAATCAAGGCAAGAATTACAGTGCAATAACTGATGCAAATTACAGTAAAAAAACTATGGAAATTACACTGTAATGTTGATGCAATTACATAGTAAACAAGACAAGAATTACAGTGAAAAGTCTGAACAAAATACAGTGTAAATACTCAGAATTATAGAGTAACCCGGAGGGGCATTCCACTGAAAATCAAGGCACGAATTACAGTGTAATCAAGGCAGGAAATAAAGTGTAATAAATGATCCAAATTACAGTAAAAAAACTGGGGAAATTACACTATAATACTAATGCAAATTATATAGTAATCAAGGGTGGGAACTACACTGTAATGCTGATGCAATTTGCATAGTAAGCAAGGCAAGAATTACAGTGAAAAGTCTGAAAAAAGTACAGTGTAAAATAGGGCTAAATGGGCACTACAGTGTAACTCTAGGGAGTTACAGTCCAAAAGCACGAGAATTACAGTGGGGGTAATCTAGAGGATTGTATTGCAAAAACCACAAGAAGTTACAGTGCAATTACAGCGTCTTACAATGTACTTTAGAGATACAATATACAGAAATTCAGAAAAACTTCACATCATAGAAACTGGGGTTCAGAGACACATTACAGAGAAAATCTTACAAAAGTAAAACTACGGGGATTACAAATGTAAAATCAGTGCTACAAATACAGTGTAAATCAGAGAAGAATAGCAGTATAAATCTGGGGGGTATTACAGTGTAATTCATAGCTAGCCCAAACTGGACCAAGCAATCAACAAGAAAGGGGAATCCCTATACTACCATACCAGAGAAATTCATAGCTCTTCCCCCGTTTCTACTGGTAATCAATCACTAAACAACTACCAGATGACTGGACTTCAAACTGCAAAGTCTCAGTAGCAATCAAAACAGATCAGTAGCATTCAAACACTAAACAACCACCAGATGATTGAACTTCAACTGCAAAAGCTCTGAATCACACACAGAGACACGCCTGCACACATGAAAAAAACACAAAACCTAACCCCGTCGGAAGACAAACACATCAACGCCCAACCTAACAGTGCCCACAACAAGGAGATCAAATCTAAAACCTAACACCGGAGCAGACGTTCTCCATGACGAACTGGCGCGAGCAGAGGGGATCCACGGAGAAGAGGGGATCTGCGGCGAACTGCACAAATGAGCATTGGCTAACAACAAATCGCACTAACCAACCGCTAAAATCATCAAACAGCAACAGGACCTACAACAACAACGCACCAACAAACCTAGATCTGGAAGCTACATGATCAGAACCATACCAAATTGCGCGGGGAAAGGGAGAGCGACAACGACAACTAACCTGGGGAGCAGTGAATCAAAGAGAAAACCCAAGCTCGAGGATAGAGGGATCTCGCAAACACCATGAACCTGACGGAAATCGCCTCGTCTCCCCCTCCGCTCGAGCGCCTCCTCCTATGGCCCCCTCTCTGCCCATCTGCCGTTTCGAAGCATTACCGCCCAAATGAAATTCAAAAAAGGAAAACGAAAGCAGACAAACGGGCGCCGGTAACGGGCAGTCCCATAAAAACCCGGGCCGGGAAAAGAAAACCGCACCCGCAACAAAGGAAACCCGCCCGAGAACAACAACTGTCAGCCCAAATCACGGCGGGCGATCGGACGGCCACAAATTTGAACGACAGCCAATTGAAAAACACTCGAGTGTAAAATAGCAAATCCGTTTTTCTTTGGGAGAGAAATTTTGAAACTATTTATCAATCATTCAATCATGACAGTACAGAGAATACTAGAGATGATAAAGTTTACAACTGAAGAAGATAGTACTTTCAACTTCAACAAACTGATCTTACTTTTTGTTTTGCTTGTGGTATATGGTAAATTAGTGTCCTCAATTTTCCTTTGTATTTATTTGGATTTACAAGATTTTGAGATGCTTTTGAGGCTTTATGTTATAAAATCATGGCAGCTTGCGCATTCGTTAAAGAAATAGTATCATCATATTATTTTTTCCTCGTGTGCAAGAAGTCATGCAATATTTTTGTAGGCTTTTGGATAAGCATATAGTGGTTTGGCTTCTTTGCTTAAGAAAATACTGACATGGGCTTCTATTCGGGGTCAAAATATACATGGCAGCGGAGGAAAAGGCAAGAATCCCCCTTGACACCGAGGCTCATCCCCGCTCTAGCTGCGTCCAGCCCCGCTCCGTGCCGTTGGCCACTCCGGCCGTGGCCGCCACCCCCTTCCCCACCGGTGCCGCCCCGCCCGGGATGCCGGGGCATCCCATGCCGACGATGGATCCGCCCTGATCTCCTGCCTCCTCACCGGCCCGCCTTCAATGCTCCGGCCCCAGGGGAGGCCTTGGATCCCCTGGATCTTCCGCCGCTCCTACCTCTCCCCATTCCCCGACCGCGCTAGAGTGGGGACGCCTCCGCAAATCCTGTTGTGGGGTGCTGACCTCGAGGGCGGCCTCTCGTCCGAACCGATAGATCAGCCCCTCCCCCCTCCCGCCTGAGCAGCACCGGCTCCGATCCATCGTGGTTGTGCCTCCCCCGCCTCCCTCTTCCGGGCCAACCACCATTGATGATGGATGGAC